GGCAACATTTTGGGATTTGAAGTCCATATATCTTAAAGATGGTGCCCATATCTTTGTTGAGAGTTTGTGGTGGAGCAGGTAGAAAAAATGACTTTCAGTTCTATGTAGCAAATGTCAAATTATTGTGCTTTCTCTGTTTGTTTTGCTTTTTCACACATTATGGCAAAAACCGTAGCTTAGCATTACATGGTTTAAACTTGGCTTTTTCTGTTCCATGCTCTCTTCCCCCAGTAAGGCAACATCTGCTTTGAGTTTAAATGTAGACATAAATAGGCATGTCATGGAAATCCTCACTGTGTTGACTGAAAGTGTTGTGAATTACATTCAACACATTTAGAAGGTATTATGTGTGACAGCTGTCCTATATCATTGAACATAAGGATTTAAACTTGCTAAATGGAATAATAGAATCTGAAATCAATTTTCTCTGTATTTTTCACTTATTCTTAGATGTTCCGTGTTTATTTATTTACAATAACTTCCGAGCTTTTCAGTTGGGCTGATTCTACATGAATTGTAAAAAACCCAAATTCTGCAAAAAATACAACAAACCATCACCATAAACAAATGTTCAACAATCTCATCACTTACTCTCGTAAAGATGTTCAGATGTATTTTGGGAACAGCCAGGTCTTTATAAGCTTCCTAAATGTCACTGGAGGGGGTGGGAGGGGGACACAACATTGGAAGCTCACATAGTACTAGTGTTTTATGGCACCAACAAATTTAACTTGCTAATAAATAGGCAGCCTCATTTTGCACCATTAAATTTTTTGGATGGTCTGTTCAAGGCCAGGTAGAATGAGTTGCAGTAATCTAGTAATTTCACCAGTTCCAGGAAAAGCTGTAACTAATGTATTAGCTAAAGCTGGGCAAAGCCCTTCTTGTCCATGCCCTCAATCTGCTCTTCTAGCAAGGTCTATGACTCCAAGATTACCCAATGGAAGGTCAACCCCATCTAGGCGGAAACTTGTAACTATCTGGAATTGGCTGGTATCTGGATAAACTTTAGATGCTTGCTAAGTTGTCAGTGTGGCCTGTTGTTGGTCCTTTAGATTCAGCCTTAACTAATGGGGGTTGGGTTACTCTAAAATGTCCCTCTGGGTTGGAACCTGTGGATGCAATAAGGGCAGAGATATATTGGTGCCTTGCCATTTTACTAACATGGTGCTAGTCATAATTGCTTTTCTGTTTAACCTCACACCATCAAAATCTCTGCTGTTATTCAATCCTCAGAAATCTTCAATATATTATGGAGGTTTGGCAAACAGGAAGACACCACTCAGGTCCAATTGTATCAATACTCAGTATTCCAGATATTGACTAGGTACCTGATAAAACCGTTTGTTAGCCTTGCAAGGTAGTCCAGAAAAGAAGCATAGCTACAGTAGATTGCTAGCTCTTTCTTTTTTGTAAGGTTGCATTAACAGGATCTTGCAAGACTGAAAGGATTCCTCTCTTCCTTCAGTTTTTCGGTCCTGAAAACTAGGGAGGGTCCCTTCTGAGATGCTTTTACCACCCTTCTTTCTTTGGGCTCAAATTTCATTTATCAGACCATTGTCTAGCCAGTGATGGCTAACCTTTTTGCCATCATGTGCCAAAAGCGGGGGAGCGCGGGAGGGTTGCACATGCGTGTGTCCACACCCACAATTCAATGCACCCCACCCCCATGCTTTCCCCACTTTTGGCACGCAATGGCACGGTGGGCCAGGTAGGCCTGTTTTTCGCCCTCCCCAGGGTCCAGAGGCTTTCTTGGAGCCTGGGGAGGGTGAAACGGTCTCTCTCCCCCCCTGGAGGCCCTCCGGAGGCTGGAAACGGTCCCTTTCCCAACTTCCGGTGGAACCAGAAGGCCTGAAAATCAGCTGGCCGACGCACACATGTGCACTGGAGCTGAGCTAGAGCAACATTGGTGTGCCCACAGATATGGCTCCGCGTGCCACCTGTGGCATACGTGCCATAGGTTTGCCATCATGGGTCTAGGCTATTGGCTCTTCCTCCCATGCCCCAATGTCATTCCCACAAACCCTTATGCTGCTCTAGAAATCGTTACGAAACTCTCCAAATGCTTGCTTAATGCTTGTTTGCTTTCTTGTTTGTTTCCCACCTTAGTTTTACAAATAAAGTATCTAACACACCTTCCTCTCCTATTTTCCCCTAAACAACAATCCTATGAAGTGAGTTGGGCTGAGAAAGAAAGTGACTGGTCCAAGGTCACCCAGCTAGCTTTCATTGCTAAGGCAGGGCTAGAACTCACAGTCTCCTTTCTAGCCTGAAACTATAAACACTAGACCAAACTGGCTCCTTTAAAAGTTCATTGGATTCCTCTGTAAGCCCTTCAAAGTAGGTCAGACCAAGAAGGCTATTGGGACTCTACAGTTAACAGAATCTTGAAGCCTGACAGATGCTTCAAGATTCCCTCTGTCCTTTTTATACCCTACAGAATCAAGGTAGTATTATTTTAAGTCTCTTTCTTTATCTTGGTACTTTCCTAGTTGTTTTATTTACAGCCTCTGAATTAAAAGGTCTTGCACTCCCTTCTCCAAAGTTATCTTTGCTTCCCTCTACATCACAGCAGGGGTGATGTAGAGGGTTCTATCCGGCTTGGGTGAACCGGTAGCGGCAGCTGCGGGAGTCTCCACCCACCTGCGCAGACATCATGATGTCACTTTTTTGCAACATATTAAGCCTCTGTGCATGCACAGAAGGGTTTGTGCATGCGCAGACAATGGCAAACCAGTAGGGAAGGTAAGTGAATTTCCCCCCTGCATCACGGATGTCAAACTCACCACATCACATTGCTATTTCACAATGTTTTTCCCTTTCATGGAGCTGGGGTGGGCATGGCCTGCGTGTGACACATCCAGCCCACAGGCCGCCAGTTTGACACTCCTGGTCTATATCATCAGATGCAGGGGTGGTATTCACTTATCTTCGCTACCGGTTCGCAAATGTGAGTGTGTGCCTTCTGCGCATGCACAAAGAATAAAAGATGGGACGTGATGACATCCGGCCAAGTGGGCGGAGCCTCCAACAGCCGCCACTACTGGTTTTCCTGAACCAGATAAAACCAGATGAATACCACCACTGATCAGATGCTTTGGTAGACCATCCTATTTGATTCATCCTTCCTGAAGGAGAACACCATGACAAAGTGCCAAAGTAGAAATGCCACCCACAACAAATTACATCTCATCTGTTTCAGTGTGAATATCAGATCTAATATGTTGGCCCATGTTTGCATTGGGCCCATTAGGACTTGGAGAGGCCCATGAGAGTCGTGGTAGCCATGAATTCTTGAGTTGCCTCTGATCCCGACCCCAGCAATGACAGATTGAATTTGCCCAGTATCAATATCCTTTTGTGATTTTTGTTCGTTAGCCAGTAGTTTACTTATTCAATGTGGTAATTTTAATTAAATGTTGTAATTGTAGAGTTTCTTATTATTGTAATGTTTCTTATTATTGTTTTTAAAGGAAAAGTAGAGAAGAAATATCATAAATATACTTTGTGGTAAACTGGAATAGATAAAAGTAGCACAATGTTTTGAAGGTGAAATGTTTTGGCCCCAAAATATGCCAATACAAATTTATTCTTCATCCAAGAAGGTCCCATTGAAGTCTCACTCCAAGTAATGCAATTTTGAAATTGTTCACCCTTGACTGGAAAGTTGTTCATCTTTGAAACAAGTCTCATAATTACAGAAATGAAGTGAGGTGAGGTGAAGAAATGAAGTGAAGTGAAGTTTATTGGAAATAGTCCATTCGGATTATCTGATAAAGTGAGAGCATTCTCACTTTATCAGAGAATCTGAATGGACTATTTCCAATAAACCAGAGCAGTTCATTCCAATGTGGAATGTTTCCATTCTGAGTTCAAGGTAGGATGTTTCCAGATCATAATGTTTCAGCCTCAAAATGTTTTGCACAACTCTAGTGAAACATGTATTTTATCCTTCTTCTATTGCATTGAAAGTGGAAAATGAATGTGATGTAACTGTGTTTTCTCTTCAGATTTGCTTTGGTTTTCCCAAATGTTATCATTTTGTTTCCATGGTTCACTTTGAAGATGCCTAGATAACAACAGTCTCATTTAAATTAAAATAAAGCTCACTGGATATAATGGTTTGAAAAAGCAGGGGTAATTAGATCGCATTACCCCTGGTTATAATACATCTGATATATTTATATGCTGCAAATTTTCAATTAATCCAGATGGTGCATTTAAGCATTACAGACTCAACTGTTCTTTAGATCAGGCAATGTAACAATTTTCCTAATATACTTATAAGATATGAATGCCTTAATATTTCAGCACTACACAGAAATCAATCTGCTGGACTAGATTTCTGCTTTCTTGCTATAGGCTATATTGTGGCAGATTCAAGATAGAACTGGTAAAATACTTCTTAGTTGTATTTTATCTGGAGCAGAGATCCAGTTAGAGATAGGAGTATTAAATGGGGGAAATTGTCCTTGTATAGAAGTGCATTCAGTGTTAATGTGTATTTTATGTTTTGGATATTGGGATTCATAGGCAAGTCCTTGTGCATCAACAATGTTGTGCATTAAGAGAAATGAAGATGAAAGGATGCCCTCCAACAGGAAAAAAAAATCAAATGTAAAAGATTTCTTAGGCTAAAAAATAATTGTATAAGAATAGCAGGGAAGAAGCCCAGAGATGACATTCATGATTCATGAATGAGCCCTGGTGGCTCAGTGGTTAGAATGCAATATTGCAGGCAAACACTGCCCACAGCCAGGAGTTTGATCCTGATGAGGCTCAAGGTTGACTCAGCCTTGTATCCTTCCGAGGACCCAGATTGTTGGGGGCAATATGCTGACTCTGTAAACCAATTAGAGAGGGCTGTGAAGCACTATGAAGCAAAATATAAGTCTAAGTGCTATTGCTATTCATTAATCATTAGATGTCATCATTCATCTTAAAGGTTTGCTGTTAAAACCACAATTCTGTACATTTAACTATAACTTCTATCTCTGCAGGAGATGCCAAGCTTCGTTTTGGCAACAGCCATACCTCAGTCACCTTGGGCAGCCTCCTGGATGACCAACACTGGCACTCCGTTCTCATTGAGCGATTCAATAAGCAAGTGAATTTCACAGTGGACAAGCACATGCAACATTTCCGGACTAAGGGAGATTCTGATGATTTGAATATCGATTATGAGGTGTGTTGGGCATTTTATGATAATAAAAGCATTCATTGAGACTGCAGAGAACTAGACATAATGGCTTATTTGGCTTTATGAGCAATAGAAATATTTCTATTGTCCTCAGTAGCGTTCTTATAAAGTTCAGGAATTAATATGTTTTTATTTTATCATTTTAAAAGAGGGAAAAAATGCCACAATTTATGTACTGAAACCATAAATAGAAGCCATAACATAGATTAAAGCATACTTTGAGATTTATGGTAGGAGTGGAAAAACTTTGATGGCTGCAGGTTACTCAAAACAGAGGAGAGATCAAGAATGCAAAGTGGGGTGACCATGTAACATGTGTGGATAGGGCTGAGTTTTTATTATTATATTATTAGTATGGGTTTTTGTAGAGTCAACTGGATATTTAGATTGGATTCATCATCTTTATCTACCTATTGACTCCTTCCAAGGACCTGGGAGAAGCAGTTGAAGTTGTTTGATGGTATTAAAGGTGTTGTCATAGGACGTAAGTTCTTCCAAGTAAAGCTGCCTTTTGCAATTGACAGTGATTTTGTCAATGCCACTGGTGTTCAAGTGATGCTCTGGATGTTTGGGGAAGGCACCTATTGTTATGAGTCTTTGTTTCTTTGTTTTCAATCTCATATATTTGCAACGAGTATTTTCAGTTTTTGTGTATTTTTCTCACATTTTTCTAATGTTTAGTATCTTTATTAAAAAAAATAACAGCTTTATTGAGCCAACTTTAGGTCTGTATTATATATTTATAACTTTATTCCATTTCTCTGCCATCAAATCCCTTTTTACTCATAGTGGCATGTTTTGTATGTTTCCCACTAAAAATAGCAAGAACCCTTTAGTTTTCAACACGAGCATCACCAAAACTCATTTGCATAAAATGTTGTTGGGTCACTAAAAGAGATCCATGGGACCCTGAGGACACAGATTGTCCTATTCTGCCTAAAGGCAAGGATGCAAATTATTAAAAATGAAAAGGGTTTCGGTGCTGCAACTCCCCGCATCAAGTTGGCTGATTTTTTTGGACAGTATAGTTTAGCTTCAAATGAGAGGTCTCAGATTCCCTTATCCTGCCCTAAAAAGTATAATTATTATTCTAATCACTCTATTAAATAAGCAGCAAGTGGCATGTTATAAATAACTATGTTGTAACTGTTATATTTCAATGTAAGTGAAAAGAATAGTGCAACTAGGAAAAAGCCATATAAAAGTATTTTAGTTAAATATAACAAAATAAAAACTCACAAGAATATGGCCAAATGTATGTGGGGATGTCATGGATATGGGGAATTCTGCAAACCGAAGTCCACACTTTTAAAAGTTACTGAGTTTGAGAAATGCTCATGTAGGTGGTAGAGTGAGGTTCTTTCTGATATTTTTATCTCATTTATGTATTTGTTTCTCTAACTAGTCATTTCATGCATGATAGCATGGTTCCAAAACGGGGGCTTGTTTTCCTTAACTTCATCTTTGACTTTTCCACATTTTCTCCAAGCTGACCACTTACTACAATTATATTATTTGTCCTCCTATGTTTCTATGAAGATTCTTAGTCATCCGGGTCATGGTTGTCCCAAAGGTGCCTTTTCAGAAGACAATTGGACTTTTTTTTTTCTTGAAGATGTGTCACTTCTCCAGAGCTGAAGAAGCTTTTGGGATGGGAAGCAAAACATTTTCAAGGAAAAACAAACTCTGGTTGCCTTCTGAAAAGGCACCTTTAGTCTTCCTGTGTCCCTTGCCTCCTTATGTGACTATGAAGGTATATACAAAGGGAATAGCATGCTTGCATTTAGCTTTGAATGCCATGGATGGAAATTTCCAAGCATAGGTATTTCTGTGGCAGAAAATTGGAAATCTAAAATAACTTCTTAAAACTCTAGTTGTCCAAGTGTGTGGGCTGTAGGAAAAAAAAAACACCTAACTCAAGTATTTAAAAATGAGATGAACATTTTCTCTGGCACTAACACCTACTTGAATGTCCTAGAACTTAGACCCCAATTTAAATGTGCATTGAATCTTATCCTTAGGCTTAGAAGGCCATCCTTGTCTATTGATGCTTAAGAAGTCTCACATGGGTATTTTAATTAGCTTGGAGGAAGATATTTATACCATAGAAATAATAGGTTTCTCTTCACTGAAGCAAAGAGGTAAATGCAATTTGCTTCCACAAAACAAAGTTGCTTTGCCTTGAACTGTTTGGGGACATCAAACACTGGCTGTTGATGACTTCAAGGCTGTGCAACTTCAGTGTACGTTGCAATAGTCAAGCATTGGAGGCATTGGAGCGGTATGCATTGAAGTTGCCCAGCATGGAAGAATTTTGATGTGCTCTGAAAGGGCTCTAGCCTCTGACTTTGGCACATACTGCAAGTAGCCCCACAATCCCCATAAAATCTAACTAGAAACATTTTGGCCAATGGTGCATCTCAAAGTCTTCTCTTGCAAGGTGAATTCTAGGTGGGGGGGCTAAGCGAAAGTGCAAAGCAGAGCAATACTGTTCAGAGCAAAAGAAATGTGTTGCTATTTTAAACAGAATGAAGGCGATTTTGCATCAGAAGGAAGCATCCCTTCAGAGATTTCTACAGCCTTTCTCTCATACCTTTAAATTTTAAGAGTAGCATGTGCAATCAATGGGAGAAGAAAAAAATACTTGGTTATGTCTGTTGTGTTACCGACAATGTATTAAATTGAATGAGCTATCAGTCATGTAATGCATTCATGTTAGGACATTAATGTTATGATCTAGTCCCAAAGTGATTTGGGATGAAACTGAGTTGAGAGAGTGTCCTGGAAGGAGTATCTTAGAGATTTTTTTATGAGGATAATAATAATATGTCAGAGAATGGATCTAAAATGAATGCTACAAATGTTAGTCTGCAAGAAAAAAAATGATGAAAGGGAAAGCATAAATGCTATGAGAATGTTGAAAAATTGTGAGGCTTCAGGGGAAGATGATATCCACTTCAGAATGTTAAAATATGGATGCAGTTTGCTTGTGGAATGGCTGTGTGACTTATATAATGTGTGTCTGAAGTCAGATGTTGGAGAGCAATTGTTCCCATTGGAAGGAAGGCTCAAGCAGGGAACTAATCTGGACTCATTATGTAAACACAAGAGGACAATGTCTGACCCACTTGAACACTTTTGAGCCTAATCTAGATTCTTTCACAGTGAAAGCTGCCAGTCTCAGGAGATTCCTGTAGAATAGGCATAACACAATAAAGTAGCTAGTTTGAAAGTCTACTTGTGTCGATGGATCTGGTTGTTCATGCTAATAGCAGCATCTTTGTCTAGCAATAAGAAGAATGCTATTATTGTTCTGTTGTACAAAAGAAAGATAGCATTAATGAATGCAAAAACTTCAGGGGATAGTTTTAGATTGTTTAGTGTACTTTAGGCAGATGTTTGGCAGAATTCTGATTGAAAGATTAGGAGATGTGTCAGTGAAGAAAATTCGGGAGAATGTAATTTCATGCTATAGAGTGTGGACGAGAGTTTTTCTCTTCAGCAAAACATTCAGAAATGTATCATTACGAGAAAGAAAGTTTATTGTATGATTTGGAGAAAATAATAAAATTTAAAAGGCTTGAATTATGGATTGTGTGTTGAAAGACCATGGTAGTTGTGTTTGATGGGAAAATGGAGTAAACACTTCAAACTGTACATAAAAGGCAAAAAAAAAAAAAACACCCCCCCAAAACACCCCACCCTACCATGAATGGTTGTTTGTTTATCTGTATAAAATATTTACTAAAGATGGCAAGATGGTTGAAGGATGTTTAAGATATGTAATGACTGGGAGAAAGATAGTGGGATAGTGTGTGATCTTTTAAAGGACTGAATATCAAAAGAAGTGAAAATGACTGAATATTAATGTATGTTTCTTCTCCCTTGGTTACATGGAAATGAGGCTGGGCATGTTAAACTGAATGTACTGGCAATGGGTAAAGCAAGCAAGCATAGAGTCAAGAATGAATAGCTGCTGAATAAATGTGGATAGAAAAATCAAAATATAGGCCAGAAGAGGGTAAGCATGTATGGATGAGCATACATTTGTATTTGAAGGACAGTCTTTTCTCAGTTGTATCTACCTGATCTCCAGAGCAGGGAGGCAAAGTATTTTTGGGGTCCACTCCTCTCTATTAAGGAGGTCCATCTAGTGAGACCAAAAAGAAAATATTTCTCTGTGGTAGTTCCCTCTTTGTGGGGCAGCATCCCTGCAGAGATAAGTTGGGTCCCACCTTGATGGTCCTTCAAAAAGATCCTGAAGACATGGTTTTGCCAGTAGACTTGGGGACCCCAGGTGATATGGAGCAGGTTTGTCTGAATTTTATCACTGGGTGGGTTGGTGGATAAGGGTTTGTTAGATTGTATATTTGTGGTTTTACTTCTGTAAGCTGCCTGGAGTCAGTTGGTCAGCCATATAAATGTTTTAAATAAATAAACAAATAAATAATGAAGTGGTATAGAGTAGACATAGGTTGATTGATTCCCCATCTCACTGATATTCCGTAGAACTAATATTCTCATGCAGCTATACTACTTGTACTGGACTATAGCTAGAAACTTCCCCAGCAATTACAATAATATGTTGGCTGGGGTATGATAGAATATGACACATCACAGCTGAACCAGCAGTCCTCTCCTCCAGGCAATTGGCCTGTCTCCATGTGCTGGCAGTGCACAATCACAGATGACTTGATCAGTTATGCATTAGTCTTTTTTTTTTTTTAGGCTTCCCAACTGCTGTAAAGAAGTTTGATAAAGTGGCAATTTCTACTTCCTGGTGTTTTAGTGGAGAAAGGGCGAGCAATTTATTTATCCCCTTTCCACTTCTCTGTGGTTATAGAAGTTGAAAACTGAAGCAGCCAGAGATGGAGGCTTTCAGAGGCTTCTTCAGATGACCATCTTGATTGTGGTGGAAGAAGGGACAATTAACTCACTAGGAAGGAGACCAAGCAACATGGAATGAGTTAGTAGACCAGGATATTTGCTGAATAATACAGGCCGGCCAAAGGCTAAAATTATGGCCCTATTGAGGTTAATTACCTTGGTTAATTAGCAGGGTTTTTGAACCTCTGTAATTCATTGCCTGGCCCATCCACATGACCCAATTAAATATGTCTTATGATCACTTCTTCAGAAGGCTAGATTAAGAAAGGCTATAATAAAACAACACTTATCAACTGTAACAATTTTATTATGGAACCTAATATAAAATGCAGAAATCTCACAATTATGTTTGGTCAATTTATGTTTAATGATTACCTACTTTAGTCCAGAGACTTAAATGGCTCCACTGTACCCACCTAATACTATTGTCTATTGAAAGTTTATTTTAGTATTTTTAAGGGATTAAAGGTGCAGCTACGGAAAATAAAAGGATTAGTTAGGTAATTAAAAGTATAATTGATCACCAAAGGAAGTGTTTTTTGTTTCCTCTCCAATAATGCAGCAGCATAATTGATATTGACTGTACACTTTTAATTTTATTTTCTGTAAGTCCAGACTGGAGGACAAAATAAGAAAGAGCAAAGGTAGCAAGTAATAACGAGTTCCAGAATGAGAATGGATCTTTAAATCTAATTCACCCTTCAGTAATTTGGAACCTAAAATTATATTGCTAAACAAAATCTATTATTGTACTGCTGTGCTATTTTGATGCTTCTTTTTCATATGAAATTGGAATGAATGTCGATTTCAGATGATTTCAGCTTTTAACCCCTGGAACTACTTTAGCCAACCCAATAGATAACCTATGGCAAAAGAAAAGTAGAGAGAGTAAAATAGAATTATTAATTTGATCTTTATGGATTGTCCTTCTGCTAGGCATTTCTTTCATTAACACCTAGAAAGTGATCTTTGCTCAAAATCATACAGCTATTGGAACATTAAAATTTGAATTTGTTTTTGTCTCAAAGCTCAGTTTTGGAGGAATTCCAGTCCCAGGAAAACCAGGAACCTTCCTGAAGAAAAATTTCCATGGTTGTATTGAGAACCTATATTACAACGGAGTCAATATCATTGACCTAGCCAAAAGACGGAAACCACAGATCCACACAGTGGTAAGAACTTAAAGCACCTTTTTGGGGGGCGGGGGAGGGGTTGACTTTTTGTTTTCCTGAAATTGTTCTTGTTGACAAATTTGTTCATCCTGTGAAGCAAGTTTCTTAGGTAAGAACCTTCCTTCCTTCCTTCCTTCCTTCCTTCCTTCCTTCCTTCCTTCCTTCCTTCCTTCCTTCCTTCCTTCCTTCCAAAAAGCAGGGGTGAAATGCTCCCATTTCGGACCGGATCGCCTGATATGGTAGCGATAGAGGCGGATAGTTCGGAAAACCGATAGCAAAAATCCCTGCCCCCGCCATGCCCAGCTGAGCCGTGCGATCATCAGAGGCTTTTTTTTTTAACTTTTAAAAGCATTTTTTTTTTTCAGCTGAAAAAATCCCAGCGGCTCAGCTGGGATCATCAGAGCTTTTTAAAAGCATTTTTTCTACATCCTCTTTGGTTGTAGAAAAAATGCTTTTAAAAGTTAAAAAAAAAAGTTGGCCACGCCCACCCAGTCACATTACCCCCACCCCCTCCAAGCCATGACCACAGAACCAGAACCACATCCTATGGAACTGGGGGCATCTGCAGAAGGGATGGTGAATCAGAAAATTCAAGATGGTGATTGTGATTATGCAATCAAAGTCTTGTTCCATGTGTCATCAAGTACACATCTGAAAGGCTCAAGTTTTCCAGCAAACCAAAAGGAGCCAATAGGCCCGTGATGGCAAACCTATAGCACATGTGCCACAGGTGGCATGTGGAGCCATATCTGTGGGCATGCAAGTGTTGCCCTAGCTCAGCTCCAGCGCACATTTGCATGCTGACCAGCTGATTTCCGGGCTTCCGGGCCCACCGGAAGTTGGGAAACAGGCTGTTTCCGGCCTCCAGAGGGCCTCCTGGGTGGTGGGGAAGGCCGTTTTCACCCTCCCCAGGCTCCAAGAAAGCCTCTGCAGCCTGGGGAGGGCAAAAAACCGGACTTACCAGGCCCACCGTGCCATCACATGCGCGGAGAGTGGGGTGCATTGAATTAGGGGTGTGGGCACATGCACGCAGGACACCCCCCCCCAGCATACTCCCTGCTTTTGGCACGTAACAGCAAAAAGGTTAGCCATCGCTGCAGTAGGCCATCTACAACTTATAATTGCAAGGCTGTAGCATCCACTATGTAGGACAAACAGGCAGAAGACTAGCAGAGTGCATTCATGAACACCACACAGCAGTCAAAAAACATAATGAAAATTCCTTAATGTCACAACACAGAGATAGATTCAACCATCATTTCTACTGGGAAACTATTAACATCTTAGGCTAAGCCAAATCAAAATAATATGGAATTCCTGAAAGCTGGGCATTCAGACAAATCAGTCATCAACAGACACATAGTGATACTGTAAATCACATGTACACATCATTCAAAAGAGACAATAAAAACCCTAGGAAGGAAACAAAAAAAAATATAATAGAATAATTCCCTCTACCAGCTCACATTCAGATAAACAGGGATCAATACCAGAGAAACAATCAGGCAGAAAGCAATACACTGATCAAGGAAGAAACAGCACACCCACCAAAATTGGCAGGAAAAGTTAATATATATAAACAGGCAGCTAACAGGCACCTAAACCCTTACTTACTCACACTAATGGCATTACCTAGTTGGGCAGTAAAATGTCTACAAGCAAACAACCAAGTTCAGACAGCACCAGGAACTCCACAGTCTAACCTTACTGCAGATTTCTCTTCCATTGAAACTGTTCACTGTTGCTTATGTTTTACCATCAAGATCCCCCCCCCCTTATATTTAAATGAAATGTAGATAGCTATAAGCAAGATCCATTATTTCTGGTCCTAGTTTTTATGATCATGAAAAATGTTCTTGCTCATCTTTCCTGTAGCTTGCCTTTATGTACCTGAACATAACTATCATGTCTCCTTTCAGTCTCCTTTTCTCCTTGCTGATTATTTTGGTTATTGCTTATCTTTCTTCTCCCTCCTTGTTTTGCATATACTAGAAAAACCTTTTTTTTTTAATCATTTTAGCAGCAAATACAAAACCCATTTCCTGCGGTAATAATTAGTTATACTGTCATGATTACAAATGCATGCTTCCATGATTCTGGTTTGTCGGTGTCTCAAAAATGCATCCCTCAAAACTAAAGAAAAACATTCAATGAGACAACAAAGCCGAGACTGTACAGAATTGTTTTCTGAAGTGATGAAACACATGCAAACTTAAAAACACATATGTAGGGAGTGCAAGAGTGTTCTGACCATCATAAATAGAACTTTGCTTCTTATTCTCAGCCTTCAGTGTTTCTTATCCTCAGCCTTCAGTGCATTCAATGCAAAGCCAGCTATCCTGGTGTTGAAAGCATAATGGCCCCACCCTATGATTTCTATAGAAGCAAAAGTCTGCACTGTATACATGGAGGCATTTTTAACCACCTGGAATAGAAGGTTATTTACTACCATTTCTATACTCATTTTAGGTGAAGTAAAGCTTTCACTTCTTCCTTTCATTTTGGTAAAGAAGAATAAATGAAATGTCCATCAGTGTATTGGATGTGCTGTGTTAAGCTATCACTCCCAATCTGTTTAATTTGCTTCCAATTGTTCATTTTGTATTCCCTGAAGGCAAGACAATACAATTGTCCAAAAGATTCTCCATTTATTATAATGTTCTCTATTCATGTATTATATTCATATTTTTATACATGATCTTGCCTTTAGCTTCTTGCAGTGAAAGGCAAATTATGTAGATGTTTAAGTATCACCCAGGATTGGATCCTTTCAGCGCTTTTTGAAATTAGGAAAATAGGAGGATGTATCTGATCTTAAGTTTCCTCAAGATAGGACCTCAGAATGGGGAGCTGTACAATCTTAGAAATTGTTGGTCAGTTATTTTGTATACTGATTCAACTTCAAGTTAACTGTTTTGCTACTTCCTTTGAAAGTTTCCCTTCCCTTCCAGTAGTGGGATTTATTTTTTTTACTACTGGTTCGGTGGGTGTGGCTTGGTGGCCATGGTTTGGGGGCGTGGCAGGGGAAGGATACCGTAAATCTCCATTCCCTCCCCACTCCAGGAGAAGGTTACTGCAAAATCCCCATTTCCTCCTGATCAGCTGGGATTCTGGAGGCAGAGAATAGATGGGGGCAGGGCCAGTCAGAGACGGTGTTTACCAGTTCTCCAAACTACTCAAAATTTCCGCTACTGGTTCTCCAGAACTGGTCAGAACCTGCTGAATACCACCTCTGTTCCCTTCCCTTCCCTTCCTCCTTCTCCAGGCAGAGATTTTAGACATTGTAGCTCATCAGTTTTATGACTAAATGCAAACATTTTCTCCAAGTAATGTGTTGCAGGGCCCTACCTAGCTTGCCATAATTTAATATATCTTACAATCCTTTTTTTTCCCTCTTAAGGTAAACATATATCACTCAAAATTCATTATGCTTTAAATTGCCATTATCTCATGTCTAAGGATTGGTTGAGAGTTGCAATAATCCCAGTCAAATTCTAGTAGGGCTACAGCAAATAAGAATCAAGATCCCAAGTCAGGATAATTTTTAAAATTGTTATAATGTCTTATAATTCTTAGAGTTTTTTATTTATCTATAGATTTTTAGCTTAAATATTTATAGCAAAGAAACTATAAAACTATTTTAATTTTATAGTGGGTTGTTCCTGGTTTATTGTTTAGTTTTCATAATCCATGATAATATTTTTACTTTATTTTATTAATACCATATTTGGTTACTTCTGTTTTTATTTTGGAATAATATTTGTTTTATGCTGGTCTATGACTGAAATAAAACCAAACAAATATATGATTAGGATTCAACCTGTGTGTGCTGTGTGTTCTTTCATCTAAGACGGCCACAAAAGACATGATCTTCCAAAGCTTTTCTCCACATATTTTCTTTGTTTTCTTCTTGGGGGGCTACAGTGCACTGTTTTAGCTTGCTATTAGTTTTAAAACATTGAAATATTCCTTGGAATTACAGAAAGCCACCAGTTCTTGCCCTTTCACAGTCTAATGCTGTTGGCTCCAGTTGGAGTAGATTCTGGAAATCACATATAAAAGGCTTCGGAGGTTAATGAAGGCCTTGTGTTGTCCACCATTGCTCTAGACCAGGGGTGGGCAATTGTGGCTCTTTTACAACCTGTGGACTTCAACTCCCAGAATTCCTGAGACATCTTGGCTGTCTCAGGAATTCTGGGAGTTGAAGTCTATAGATTGTAAAAGAGCCACAATTACCCACCCCTGCTCTAGACTTAACAAGTCATTCTGTATCCATGAATAATCAACAATCAACAATAGAGCAGTTTCATTATATTCATACACGTGGTCCTTGATTCATGACCATGATGGAGCTTGCCCATCATAATCTTAAGTCATGTAAAATGTGATTGGTCACATGACCAACTACATTTTACACTGTTTTTTGTGGTGATCATTAAGTGAATCTACCCTTGCAGTTTGGTTATTCAAAGAAGTAAAATGCCTGACACGTTGGGGCTGTGTGAGGGTTTGTTTTGGAGATTCAAATCAAAGGCAATTCAATCACATTGCTCTTTTGATTTTTTTCAGATCAAGTCAGTGGAACAAACTGAATCAAATTGATGTGACAATTTAATTGCCTTTGAGCATAACAGAGTTGATAGTTTGAATTGCATCAACATGATTAGGTGCCTGAAATCAATATCAGATATACAATAATTCCAATTCTATTGGTCAGAGCACCATTTTGAATCGGAATGATTTGACAATTATAAATGGGTCAGAGATAATTTCCAAAGACTTTCTGAAAAAGTGTAAAATTGCTTAACCTCCAGGACAGATTTGGAACGAGTCCTTTCTTTCAAAGACACCAAAAGCTCCAATATTCCATTTTATGGAAGGGCTGGATGAGCCTTCAGTTGTAATTAGAGCATTTGATAAGAGGTTCATACAGGGCATTTTTGCTGCCCTTCTAAAGGTTTTTTTTTTTCAAAAAGCTTTTGAAAATAGATTAATAATAT